AGGACTGATAGTAATGTAATTCTTCCAGATAGAAACCTGATTGCAAACAAATTAAATGATTATTTTGTTAATATTGGTCCCTCGCTTGCACTCGGGGAGGAAGAAATTCATCATACCTCTGTTGGTGTGACAAATCGTGGTGATTTAGAATGTAACACAACTTTTTGTTTTTCTGATATAAGTGTTCATCAAGTTCTAAACAACTTAAAAGAACTAGTAACATCCAAAGCTACTGGCGTAGATAAAATTCCAGCTAACGTTCTTAAATTATCTGCCGATATAATTGCACTATCTCTGACAACAATCTTTAACCAATCACTACATACTGGCATATTTGTAAATGACTGAAAATTAGCACGTGTGCAACCGATTTATAAATCTGAGGATAGAACCAAATGTGAGAATTACCGTCCAATTTCTATTCTTCCAGTTGTAAGTAAAATTTTTGAAAAAGAAATTTTTCAGCAATTATATAGTTATTTATCTGCAAACTCACTAATTTCAAAGTTTCAATCTGGATTTCGACCTAAACATTCATCTCTAACCTTACTTCTCCAGAGGTGCGATCAATGGCTAAAAAATATGGATGAGGGTAAAATAACTGGTCTTGTTTCTCTGGATATCAAGAAAGCATTTGATTCAATTGACCATCAAATTTTAATGTCAAAAATGAAAGACCAGTTTGGTATTCGTGAAAATGAATTGAATTGGTTTACCTCTTACTTGACTGATCGTCGACAAGTTTGCTGTGTAAATGACCATATATCCTCTTGGAAATCCATAGAAAGCGGTGTGCCGCAGGGGTCCATTCTCGGTCCTTGATGTTTTTATTATATATTAATGATTTGCAGCAATATTTAAAATTTACAACTCCGGGTTTATATGCTGATGATACGCAGATATCTGCCTCGTCTGATAATTATGATGAACTGGTGGAACTATTAAACTTTGATTTGAAAAATATTAGTAGATGGCTCTCGGATAACAAACTGCAACATCATACTACTAAAACTAAGCTAATGTTCATAGGCTCCCGGTACAATATCAAAAATAAAATTGGAGATAAATTAGTGACCTTTAAGAATAAATAATTAAAACGGTACAGATCTTTTAAATGTTTAGGAGTTGAGTTGGATGAACACCTTAGTTGGGAAGTTCACATTAATGCAATCTGTAAGAAGGTTGGTGTAGGGATAGGAGTTTTAAAACGAACAAAACCATTCGTCCCCAATGAAACCCTGCACATCATCCATAAGGCGTTAATTCTGCCATACTTTGATTATTGTCCCGCTTCGTGGGATAATTTCGGAATTGTACTAAAAGAAAAACTACAGAGATTCCAAAATAGAGCTGCAAGGGTGTTGACGGGAGTAAGTTATGATACCAACTCCTCTGAGCTCCTTGAACGGCTTAACTGGAAAAATCTTGAAAACAGATTTAGATTTAATAAAGTGGTTCTGGTATACAACATTCTTAATAATGGTACTACCCCCTGTCTTCGAGAATTCTTTTCTGCACGAAGCAATAATGATAATGACTGTCATCTCAGAAACTATGATACAAATCTCCAAAACCTAAGAAAGAATTTCTTAAAAGAAGCTTTAGGTGTAGTGGAGCTGTACTGTGGAATAGTCTTTCTGCTGAGGCTAAGTCTGCTCATTCCCATTTCTTGTTTCAAAAGACTTATTTGAATCTTGTTTTTAATTGTTATTCCATTTGTAACTACACATTATGTTCCGGATAATATTCTTTTTGGGTCTGTGGTTTAATTAGTTTTTCTTCATTTTTATATACTTGTAAATAGCTAAATAGACGCCCCCCATGAAAACCAGCCGTATAGCTGATGAGGATAGCGTCTCTAAAGAAATTAAATACATACATACATATTGCATTGCATTGCATTGCATTGCATTGCATTGCATTGCATTGCATTGCATTGCATTGCATTGCATTGCATTGCATTGAGTAATATGTAAGCACTCGCATGAATGGACCTTGGCTACGTGTTAGCCTTTTAGTAAGTAAAACGGAGATTATAAGTCAATACAGTTTAAAGTATAAAAATGACAGCAAGTGAATGTCATGTAACAGCCCCACCTAATAATATTTTAATTCAATAACAGTGTTAGGGCAATTATATACAGAAGTACCAAAACTAAGGCGCTTTTTTAACAATATTTCCAAACGTTTCACGCGAAAGACGGCGAACAGCCTCCTATCATACATACGTATTGAATGCTGATTAAAAAATTCCATTGCTAAAAATTCGAACGGGTGAAAACCTATTCATTTCACAGATCTAAGGCTGGTATACTTTAATTTAGGGTATTATAATTAGTTGCGGTAGTAATCATGTGTTTATAAAACGCTCCGCCGTCCACCGTCCGCTGTCCGCAGTCCGCGGTCTGCCTTTTATCCGTCCGCCTTTTATCTACACCCGACCGCCGACAACACATCAAGAAACGAAATACGCCCACTTTTCGCTCTTGTCAAGTTGGCTCCGCCTTTGCATAAACTTTACTTACATCCAATTAAATCTATCCAATAGGAACCGTTACATGTAATGTCATGTTTATTTACAGTGTATCAAAAAAAGGTAATCGAACTGCAGCGCGCTATTGTACGTCAATTACTCGGCGTACGAACATTTTTTTTTCATATCCGGAAAGATCAGGCTTTTAGCTATTGAATGACATGTTTTTTATGCCCAGTGAAGAAAAAATAAGTAAGAACGAGTCCGATAAAAAATGTTAGTCAGAATAGCGTATTTTCACCTCTGTGCCTAATTAAAGCAATGCATAACAAAAGAAAAAGATATTAATCACGAACTTGTCGTAGCTTAGCTAAGATTTATTCCAACTTAAGGTGGCTCGATATAGTTATCACAAAAATTCCGCTCAAGAATCGCGAACAAAACCGGGTGACCATTTTTACGCGCAAGTCGCGGAAACTGATGAACAAAATGAAAGAACTTCAAAAATGACCTGACGTGAGCAGTTTCTCGCCCCATCTCACGTCATTGCGCGTGTTCTATACACTGAGCTGTATAATAACTGGAGGACCTGCTCCTATCTCTCGTCAGTCAAAAAAGTGTCGCCAAAAACATGGCGGATTTTGACGCCATATGACGCCATTTCCATGGAAACTGGTCCGAAAACCTCATGGTAGTTACCACTGACCAGGCTCAATTCTGTGCCCACGGCAGTTTTCACCCTCCCCCCCTGGTTTTTTGCAAAAGATTTGGTTTTTGCAGATAAATATTTATAGTTCTCGTTGTTTTAAATCTTTTGTTCAAATGTTGAGATATATTCACTACCTTTGACCATTTGGTTAAAGGTATGCAAGTCGTACGTGTTATTCTCGCCCGCGAAAGCCAAACAAAACCTCGAGAAATGTGGGGAAAGAGTATTAAAGACGATACTTGAGTCGGGTAAAAGGTAGGAGATGTCTAGACAATTTTACTCATTCTTTATCTTATTTGACGTGAAATTGGTAAGCCTAACGATGAAATACACTTCATTTGTTAAGAAATCAAGCTTTCAGCTTTCTACAGTCCAAATTTCATATTGTAAGGTGTAAAGTTTCCCATTATTTTAACAAGCTGTATTCACAAATTGACAAATATTTAGTCAGTCTAAACAACAAAGATTTGATATTCACAAATTTGTATGATATATATATATACTGTTTAAACTCACTAAAGTGCAAACTATCTTGTGTAATAATGTTAAAAAGGTTGACTCCGGAGACCTGAGGTCTCGTTTTATTACTTTTATAAACATACACTTGATGAAACTATGATGTGTAGGGTTTGTGGTTTGTGTTGAACATTCTATGGTGTTGAATATGCACCAACGTTTGTATAAGCTACTGGGGTACTGGAAGCTAGCTTATCCAGGAAGGTAGTTTCTGTCTACCTATAAAATATTGATTGGGGACACTTTTTGTGTCATTATACACCTGATTACAAAATAAACTCCTTAAGCACCAGTGCTCTCCCCTAGACACTTAAAATTGTCTGGTGTTTATCAATTTATATAAAATAGGGTGCATTAAGGTACAATGCAACTTTTAAAACAGTTTAATGAAAGAATTTCTAAGCAGCATTGTATGTAGACCTTTAAGACAGGAATAAACCTGCAGCCATCAATGATTCTGATGCAGTGTTCAAACCAATTTATACTGATCAGCTACAGTTGTCGAGCTGTAGTTGCAATGAAATTCATGTAAATATCGTAAGGTGAAGCCTGTTGTAAGGTGCAAGGGTAAATGTCAGGATTTTGGACATCACACTCAACAGAACTACCCTGTAACGCCCGTGGTATCAAATATGATACCACATTTATAATTATGTAAAAAAATAATAAATTATTCATAAAAATCATTTAAAACTTCATGTTGTATTCTGCAAGCGCCTGTAGTAACGTTTTTGATGCGAATTACCGCTGACCTGTATATACTCGGGTCATAAATATAAAATCCAACATGGCTGCCAACATGTGCTATTGTTTGTGAAAAATCCTTGAAATAAAAAGCCTTGTTTTTGCGAAACCGGTTAGTAATTTTTTTGTTTCTGGCTTGATTCATGTGAATAAGGTTCTAAAGCTATCATAATTGCCATTTGTGTATTATGGTCTGTGAAAACATTCACAGGATCGCTTTTTAAAAACATGGTATCAAATATGATACCACGGGCTTTAAAGGTCATAAACTGATAAACATGTGGTCTTTAAACCAATTATCCTTCTCGGATTTCTGAGGCTTATTTTAGCTTATTTGTGTTTGTAAACTTAACTATTTCTGTAGTTACAGTATTTCGAATGTATCTGTTTGTATTTTAGTATATTTACATGTATTTTAGATTTTTAATAATTTTACAACTATCATTTAATTTAGTAGCTCTATTTGTTAGCAATACTTGGCAATTTGGAAGTAGCCTGAAAGAAGTGCCGAACATAAAAATATTGAAATATATCATTTTATTTATAAAATATTTAGAAATGTCATTGCCGAAGGATCAGTATAGCTTAGTCAATGTGTTAGATGTAATAGACAATAGCGACAGTGAGTTCGAAGGGTTCGAAAGTGAGTCGGATGGTGAATTTAGTCCATATTGCTCCAACCAGTCATCAGAGAGTGATAGTGAAGTTGACGACAGCAGTGATTTACTAGATCATAGTAACCAAACTTCTGATCAGGAAAGTGAATGGGAATCGGATGATGATGTTCCTTTATCAAGCATGGCAAAACTGACACCAAATACCAAGTACAAATGGCGCAATGTTGCGTTTCAACCACCAGAGAACATAGAGTTTTGTGGTGACACAAAACTTCCAGATCTGCCAACAGTGAATGGCGAAGTCACACCATACAGTTTGTTCAAGATGTTTATATCGGATGAAATGCTTGGATCTGTGGTTAACGAAACAAACCGGTACAGCGTGGAGAAAAATGGCCAGTCAATAAATATATCTCGTCAGGAATGCGAACAGTTGATAGGAGTGATCTTCTATATGGGACTGGTCCAAATGCCTAGCCTTCGCTCGTATTGGGAGAATGAGCTAGGTTTTGAGCCGATTTCCAGTGTTCTATCTCGTAATCGATTCCTTAAATTGGTCACATTGCTTCATTTTGTTGACAACAATGCCATCACAGATGAGGAAAAGAAAGACAGGCTTTGGAAACTACGTCCATGGCTTGATGCAATGAGACAAAATTTTCTGCAAATCCCTCCAAAAGAATGTCAGTCAATTGATGAGATTATCATTCCATTCAAGGGTAGATCTGGCCTCAAAGTTTATATGCCTAAAAAGCCACATAAGTGGGGGTTTAAACTTTGGGGTCGATCAGACTCAGATGGATTTATGTATGATTTCGACGTATACCAACCTGTTCCAGATGACCAAGTCTCAGAGCTGGGACGATCTGCCGGGGTTGTAGAGAAAATGACTGATACATTGCCAGATGGGAAAAATTTCAAGGCCTTCGCTGACAATTATTTCTCTTCTGTTGCACTTGCTGAAAAGTTGAAGAAGCGCCAAATATATTACATTGGCACAGTCAGGATGAATCGTGTGACTGGAAACAAATTGCTGAAACCCAAGGAAATGAAAAAGACTGCTCGAGGACATTGTGTTGCCCAGGTTGAAAGAAACACGAATGTGGTATGTGTCCAGTGGAATGACAACAAAGTAGTCAGCCTCATTTCGTCCTATGTTGGGAGAGAACCCATGACAGAGGCAAGGCGTGGGGATAGGAAGGGAAAAAAAACATGTGCAAATCCAGAAGCCAAAGATTGTGGAAGAGTATAATAAGTTTATGGGAGGCATTGACCTTCTAAACATGTGTACAAACTTGTACAAGTACAATATAAAGTCTCGTAGGTGGTATATGTATATATTCTTTCATTCGCTTACACTTGCCCTAGTAAATTCCTGGTTTCTGTACAGAAGGTACCATCAAGAGCAAGGTACAGATAAGAAAGAAGTGCTTCCTCTCAGGAAATTTCAAGCTGCTTGTGCGTATGCTCTGACCTCAGCCGGCAAAGGAAAGAAGCGAACACGTGGTCGCCCATCATTAGAAGAGCAGGAAATTTTGGAAGCAAACAGGTCCCAGAAGAAGAGGTATGTTGGTGTACCTGAAGATGTCCAGAAAGATGAGTTTGACCACTTCCCCATGTATGATCCAACACGTCAACGGTGCAAGGTTTGCCCAAGAAAGAATTCTGCTTTCTCACACATCAAGTGCATGAAGTGCAATACTCACCTGTGTTTGAATAAAGACAGAAACTGCTTTGTTACATTTCATAAATGAATTTAAGTTAACTAGAACACTGGATCACAAACACTGGATTTACATTTATAATATTATATATTATTTTAAACTTGTATTAATTAATAATAATTATTATTATAATTAATATTTAATAATATTAATTATAATAATAAATATTATTATTTTTAGTCAATTATATATATCATATAGTAAATAAATAAGATAAAGTAGAGAATTTCATGCTTAGCATAACCATAGATGCCATGAACAGGTTATTTTTCAAATTATATAGCATATCAATGTAACATGATATTTAAAAAAAATTACCCACCAAAGCCCGTGGTATCATATTTGATACCAACCAAAAAATCTGCGCACGACCACTTAGATCAAAAATTTTTTTTTGAACATGAATCTTACACCATTTGCAGCTATGCTACCAAGTTTGGTAATTTTCGAAGGGGTTTTTCCAAGGTTGGCTTAAATGTTGAAGGTAGCATCACTATAGACGAATATTTTAAGTGTCAATTTTATACATATTTAGACCTAACCAACCTAAAAAATATCATTTGCAGCTGCTTTAACCAGGTCTAACAGGTAAAATGTATAAAATTTACACTCAAAATTTTCATCTACAAAAACCCTTCAACATTTAGTGATGTACATCAGCATTGCCATGTAAAACCCTTTTCTCACCAAACATGCACTTACTGCATGTAATAGTTGGTGGTCAACATAGAAATATTTGCACAAGAATAGACATTACCTCTCAATTCTTTATTTTACTCATACGGAATACATGGTCTGCTTCACTGTTAAATTAATATGTAGTTTTTACAGTAGATAATAATTAAACTGCTTTATATTTTTTAGACCAAGAAGTGTTGAACTTCTCTTAAGGGAGAGGTATTGTCAGTGGCAAATTTGAGGAATCTGATACATTGATGGAATACTGCATGTGGTCATGAAATTATACTTGCTGAAATCCTCAAGGTCTGAAAATTGAAGAGGTTTTGTACCAATCTCTGCTAATCAGCAAGGATCAAACGACGTGCTTAAGTAACACTACTAGTTTTGTAAAGAAAATGAAACACTCTTGATGACATATACTAGATTTGTTGAAATAGTTGAACTGAGGCAATGATAGTAATTCAGGCATTTTGGGGGAAAATTTTTAAAAATGTATTTGTTTTTAAATTAAAATGTAAATTTATGTTTGACTCATAATTATCTCAGAACCAATCCAATATCCATCACTATACATTAAACATATTTTCGGAGGTCAAGTAACTACCAATGATTTGAGCTCTAGGTTTGGAAAGAGAAATCACAAAATGTTAATGAAAATTTTAATAAATTTTATATATTTACATAATGCAGTACATACTGTAATTTAGTATTTATAACAACAAGTATTTAATATAATCATTGACAATTGTATTGAATTGAATTACATTAATAAGGGGGCATTCATTATTGATGGGGAGTGGGTGGTGAGAAATTGGGGGGGTCCATCCTGAGATTTTCCCAGATGAAAAGGGGGGACTGCAATTCTGGTAAACCAAATCCTGGGGGGACCTGACATTGAAGGAAGACACATCTACAACTTTCGAAAATTATGGTGAGGGTAAAAACAAAAAGAAATCAGATTTACATAACTTCATCTTTGAATTTATTTATGAAGTTATCAAATACATCATTTCTGAAGTTATTCAAAACAATCACAGTACATGTTTCATCAGATCTATTAAAACACTTGGGTATTGCCTTGTGTTATAAATCTGATAAAAAAGGTTGCTGTTGGTGCCTTTGAATATATTTTAATACAATATAATAACATTTAGATTTAATGTAGTGTGAATCAAAAAATTAAATGTGACTGTGTGTAGTACCCTTTATTGTCAATAAAAAAGAGTTGCACCATAATTATACTTGACTACAGTAATTGGTGAGTGACTAATTATTATCATAACTTCAATTTGTTCTTTTCCATTTTGGCATCCTGTGCCATTTCTTCTGGTACTAGGCCGTAGGATGAGCATCCAAAAGATGCTTAGAAAACGGATTCCGTTGCACCCCTCGTGTAACTACGTAATTTTCACATGAATAAATAGATAAAAACTTACTTTATCAGAATCCGTTGCTCCCCAAGCGAAACAGGTGCACACTTGGGAGAAAAATCCTTCCAAAGTTTGATATTTTCGCGCTTCGAAATATTCGAACCGCCATTGTTTTGATAGCAAATACGCATGCGCAACTCACCCAAACTCGCACTGCGCACGCGCATAACCAACGCACATGCTTCGAAGTGGAAACACGCTCAGTTATGCAAATAAACATGGCTGAAGATATTTATAAAACTTGATTATCCTCATGTTTTATGCATTTTGATGGCGTTACGGAGCAACTTTGCAAAGTTACACGCCAAAGGCTTAAGAAATTTCTTGAGTGTAGGTCAAAATGGGCCAAACTTAAATGTCAACAAGCTGATATAACTAAGAAATCGGTACGAGAACATCGATGATGGATCTGTCAATTCATACATGGAGAAGAACCCTGACACCATTAACTTGATGGAACCATCATGAAATGCTGGAAGAGATTTTGTGATGAAGAGAAGATCTGTAGATAACAGAGGAAAGAAGAAAAAGGAGAAGGAACTAGCTGTAAAACTATAACTTCTACCGAAGAATCACGTGGAAGTGGAGGCAATAGAACCAAGGCGAAAAATTACACGTTAAAATATAAACGCCCTGGCGCCCTGCCTAAAAGAAACGCGCATGTACTCCCAGAAATATGTATTATTTGTGGAAGAGACGCCTCGTGGTTCTCACTAGACAAGGTATGGTCATTTTGATGGGTATAATACTAGCGCAATGTGCACAACATTCTCAGGTTTGGTTTTAAAATATATTGAATTGTGATCAATTAAGTTTACTTAGGGTAAAGTAGTTTCTATGCTACAAACATCTAGCCTTGTTATTAGTAGATATTTAGTTTAATAATTTATTTTGTTTCACACCAGGCAACTTTAAAGAAGAGAAGAACCCCACTCATGTTGGCAGAAACAATTGATGCTGGTCTTCTACG